ATTAATTTTTATTAGTTTTTAATTTTTCTTAAATTGTTTTTGTCTTAAAATAATTGTCTCTTTTTACTTTAAATTTATTTTATAGTAATTTTTATTTCTTATTTTTTAAAATAGATATATTTTTTTACTTTAATTCTATCATTATTTATTCATTTAAATTAATCATTTAATCACACAAAAAAAATTGTCTTTTATTTTCTTTTATTTCCCTCTATTTTGGTCCTCTCCATTCTAAAGGAATTAAAAGTAAAATATTTGCAAAAGCTTTTCTCTTTTAAGTTATGTAATTTAAATATTATAATTATTTTGAATTTTTATTTGGAATAAAGATTTTCTAAACATTTTTTTTAACAGTGAAAACCATTTTTCTTTGGTCATTTAGAGAGTTTGAAGAGTAAATTTTTGGTCACTGTAACCAAACCATCAGGAGTTTTATTTAAAAATGAGAAAGGGTTATGATTATATTTTATGTAATATGATAATAAAATTATGATATTAATATTATTTTTAAACTTAAATTTAAAACTTAATCCTTAATTTTTACATTAAAAAAAAAAAACCGGACGATCATTCCCTAACCCCTAACATTATTATATATTTTAAATTCTTAATCAACCAACACCGCATTCTCAAACAAACTCTGGCTACGAAGTTCTGTCATCCCAATCTCAAACAGAGGACACAGCAACTTTCAAAAGGGTGTGGAACAAAGATATCCCGAGCAAAGTGTCTGCCTTTGTGTGGCAATTAATACGGAATAGGATTCCAACAAAAGACAACTTACAGAGGAGGGGGCACTAAAGGATGCAAATGACAATTCTTGCGGGTTTTGTAGTTTCCACTTCGAGAACTCAGATCATCTTTTCCTAAATTGCAATATGGCTACACAATTATGGGGTCTATGCTTTAGATGGTGAGGATTAGGGATGGCAATTTGTCCCGATCCCCGCGAGGTCACGTGGGGATTCCCGCCATGGGGACGGGACGGGACGGGGAGGAATATTCCTCCTTGCGGGGTGAGAATGGGGAGTATTTTCTCCCCGTGAAAATTCATGAGGAATTTTTCTCGTCCCATGGGGTTCCGTGGGGATTCCCATCCCCGCGAAAAATTAAAAAAATACATAAATTAATTTTATTTTAAATTTAATTTAACCTTCAAACCTAAATCCAATTCAATAAAATTTAAATTTAATCTAATTTTATCCAACATATTATTAACCTTTTAGTTATTTATGTTAGAATAATCTTTATTTATGTTTGAATAATTTATATTTAAAGAATTTTAATTAATTATACTTAAATTTTTAAAATTTTATTTATTATAATTGAATATTAATT